TGACACTGTCTAACCATCTCATCCTTTGCCGTCCCCGTCTTCTTTGGCCTTCAATCTTTCCCAGCATCAGGGTCTTCTCTAGTGAGTGCTCCCTTCTCATTTGGTGGCCAAAGTATTTGAGCTTCATTTTCATTATCTGGCCTTCCAGGGAACAGTCAGGGTTGATTTCTTTTAGGATTGACTGATTTGTTCTTCTTGCAGTCCAAGGGACTCTCAAGAGTCTTCTCCAGCACCATAGTTCAAAAGAATCTATTCTTCGGCGCTCGGCCTTCCTTATAGTCCAGCTCTCGCAGCCATACATGACTACTGGGAATACCATTGCTTTGACCATGCGGACTTTTGTTGGCAGGGTGATGTCTCTACTTTTTATCATGCTGTTTAGGTTCGCCATCGCTTTCCTCCCAAGGAGCAGGCGTCTTTTAATTTCATGGCTGCTGTCACAGTCTGCGGTGATCTGGGATCCCAGGAACATGAAGTCTGTCACTACTTTGTGAGGGATGTACTAAAAGGAAGGACAGATTGCCCATTGGAAACAATGGGAGACGCCGGAAGGCCCATTGGAAATCATGGGAGCCTGGAATGCCAATGGATTTGCCTGGGCTCCATTGGAAAACATTAGGGTACAAATCGAGTTGCCATAAAAAAGCGGAATGGATCTTCCATTAGGGCCTCTGGGCCCAATGGGCAATCCTGTCCTTCCTTTTAGTAGATCCCCTTTGTGAGCTACTGGCAATACAGTGGTGAGCGAGCTATTTGGCTGCTCCATAAATTAGTGTGCTCTGGAGCCATCCCTCCTGAGCTAAGACAAAAATGTGTGAGCCGGAGGCTCAAAAACAGTGAGCTAGCTCACACTCACTCAGCTTAGAGGGAACAGTGATTGCCTGTTGCATTCCTGCTCGGGGTCGGCCGCCAGCGGCCATAGGACAGCGTAGGCGTCATGCGAGGCGCCCACGGGAGCTTCTGCCCGGCACTGAGCCGAGTTGCTCCAAAAGGCGCCGCCGGACGCAAACGTCGCCCTAGGTGTGCCTCTTCCCCTAGCGTTGTGGTCTCTGCTGGGAAGCCTCGGCTTCTGGTGATGTGGCCAAGTAAGATAGCCCCAATTGAGACCTTTTCGCTTCTAGGAAGAGTTCAGGTTTGGCTTCACCTCCAATCCACCCGTCTTTGGGGCGGGCTGTGGTCCATGTTCCCTCTAAGCTGTGAAGTCTTGTGAGCAAAAATTCAACTTTGTGAGCTACTGGCATTAAAGTTGTGAGTGAGCGATTTGGTTACTGCATAAATCAGTTTGCTTTGGAGCCATCCTTTCTGCGCTAAGAAAAAAATGTGTGAGCCGGAGGCTAAAAAACCGTGAGCTAGCTCACGCTAACTCAGCTTAGAGGGAACATTGGTGTGGTATCCATAAAACACTCCTCCGACACCACATTCCACCTATGGTCTGAAGTCATGCAGTCTGTTTCTACCACCTCAGCATTTTACCAGTGCCTGTGCAAATCAGGCCCAACAGGGCTATCCTTGCACTTGCTGTTGTGTACTCTGGTACACACTTCCTTGCTTCATTTGCATGGAGCTGAGCCTCAGATGCCTGAAACATATTCCCAGTTGGCAGACACAAACAAGGATGTGTGAGGAAAGGAATGTAAATAGTGAGGACATAAGAACATAAAGAGACGCCAATGTTGGATCAGGCCAAAGGCCCATCCAGCCCAACACTCTGTGTCACACAGGGGCCAGAAATACCAGGTGCCATCAGGAGGTCCAGCAGTGGGGCCAGGACACTAGAAGCCCTCCCATTGTTGACCCCCCCCCAAGCACCAAGAAGACAGAGCATCACTTGCCCCAGAGCCCCTATCTATACCTTGTGGCTAATAGCCACTGATGGATCTCTGCTCCATATGTTGATCCAATTCATAAGAACATAAGAGATGCCAATGTTGGATCAGGCCAAAGGCCCATCCAGTCCAACACTCTGTATCACACAGTGGCCAGAAATACCAGGTGCCATCAGGAGGTCCACCAGTGGGGCCAGGACATTAGAAGCCCTCCCACTGTTGCGCCCCCCCCCCAAGCACCAAGAAGACAGAGCATCACTTGCCCCAGAGCCCCTATCTATATACCTTGTGGCTAATAGCCACTGATGGACCTGTGCTCCATATGCTTATCTAATTCCCTCTTGAAGCCGTCCATGCTTGCAGCCGCCACCACTTCCTGTGGCAGTGAATTCCAAGTGTTAATCACTCTTTGGGTGAAGAAGTACTTCCTTTTATCTGTTCTAACCCGACCGCTCAGCAATTTCATGGACTGCCCACGAGGAGTTCTTGTATTGTGAGAAAGGGAGAAAAGTACCTCTTTCTCTACCTGCTCTTTCCCATGCATAATCTTGTAAACCTCGATCATGTCACCCCCTCAGTCGTAGTTTCTCCAAGCTAAAGAGCCGTAAGCGCCTTAACCTTTCCTCATAGGGAAAGTGTTCCAACCCTTTTATCATTCGAGTTGCCCTTTTCTGCACTTTTTCCAATGCTATAATATCCTTTTTGAGGTGTGGTGACCAGAACTGCAACAGACCTGTAAATTAAATGAAGATTTGCTACCTACACAAAGTTTATGTGTATACAAGGTCATGTTTCCAACAGGGTGTACACTGATTCATACAAGCTGATGCCTCCCTAAAACAAACATCGACAAACCAACATAAAAACATAAACATTGGGAAGATTCATTATATCATTTTTTTCCATGTTATCATTGACCTCATACTATAATTAAAAATTAGCTTCTCTTATACACCTTATTAGGAGCTGCGGTGGCTCAAGTGGTTGAGACGCTGAACTGCAGGCTGTGGAAGGTCAGTAGTTCAGCAGTTCGAGACCCGAGTTGCCGCATGATGGAGTGAGCTCCCGTCTCTAGTTCCAGCTCCTGCCAACCTAGCAGTTCGAAAGCAAGAAATTGCAAGTAGATAAAGAGGTACCACTTCGGTGGGAAGGGAACAGCGTTCCGTGTGCCTTGGTGTTTAGTTATGCCAGCCACATGACCACGGAAATGTCTTTGGACAGCGCTGGCTCTTCGGCTTGGAAACGGAGATGAGCACCGCAACCCTAGAGTCAGATTCGACTGGCTTTCGAGCAAGGGAACCTTTACTTTACTTTATACACCTTATATTTTAAATAGATACCTTTTGTTCACAGGTATATATATTGTATTCCTCTATCCAGTTCTTCCTTCTCCATTATCTTGGCCGAGACCCTGCGGAAACTCTGTGCAATGGGGGGGGGGGCTCCTAGAAAAGCCGGTTGGCCTCACATTGCGGGCTTCACATCCAGAAGAACCCGGTGGCCATCAGGGGGTGGGGCAAATTCACAGTACAGTACAAGGACTTTTATGGACTGTTAGACCTCTTGGTGGTAGAGGGACGTCTTGCCAGTTTGCTGGGGCTGTCATGGTTTGGGCCCCTGGGGTTTGGGGTGATGGGGGTAAACCACGTGCGGCCACAAGACTTTGATTCTGTATGTGACGAATTCCCGGCCGTGTTCAATGGAACGCTCGGCCGCTACGCAGGCCTTCCGGTCTCCCTTGGCCTCGACCCCACAGTACAGCCCATCCACACAAAGGCCCGGCACCAGAGTTCCCTCTAAGCCGAGTTTGTGTGAGCTAGCTCACAGTTCTTTAGCCTCCAGCTCATACATTTTTGTCTTAGCTCAGAAAGGATGGCTCCAGAGCAAACTAATTCATGCAGTAGCCACATCGCTTGCTCACAACTTTAATGCCAATAGCTCACAAAGTAGAAATTTTGCTCACGAGACTCCACAGCTTGGAGGGAATATTGCGCCGGCACGCCCCGTTTGCATTGCGCCCTAACATAGATATGGAGTTAGATCGCCTGGTGGAACAAGGGGTTTTAGAACCCATGCCACACGCCCGGCGGGAGACCCCGCATAGTCACACCAGTGAAACCCAACGGGGATGTCAGAATATGTGCAGACTACAAATGCACTATCAATAAAGCACTACAGAATCACTCCTACCCCGTACCCGTTGTGAGCCAGTTACTTGCCTTTGGCAAGCTAGACTTGGCACAAATGTACCAGCAGTTGCCGGTGGACGATATCACCACTGAGGCACAAACCATTGTGACACACAGAGGCGCGTTCCAGGTACGGAGGCTACAGTTTGGAGTAAACGTTGTGACACACATTGCGACACACAGAGGCGCGTTCCAGGTACGGAGGCTACAGTTTGGAGTAAACGTTGCCCCGGTAATATTCCAAAACCTCATGGACTGTCTTCTTAAGGGTATTCC